AAAATCGATATTACTTGAAGTTTCAGTATCACTTTATAATGCCTTGGTAAGACCATACTTGGAATATGGCATCCAATTTTGGTCACCGCCATATAAAAAAGATGTTAAGACTCTAGAAAGAGTGCAGAGAAGAGCCACTAAGATGATTAAGGGAGGGTAAAACATATAAAGAACATTTGCAGGAACTGGATATGTCTAGTCTTACAAAAAGAAGGACTAGAAGTGACATGATAATAGTGCTCCAATATCTCAGGGGCTGCCCCAAAGAAGCTATTCTCCAAAGCCCCTGAAGGCAGGAGAAGAAGCCATGGGTGGAAACTCATCCAGGAGAGAAGCAACCTGGAACTAAGGAGGAATTTCCTGACAGGGAGGACAATTAACCAGTGGAACAGCCTGCCACCAGAAGTTGTGGGTACTCCAGCACTGGAAGTATTCAAGAAGTTATTGGACAACCATTTGTCTGAAATGGTACAGAGTCTCCTTTTTGAGCAGGGGGGTTGGACTAGAAGATCTCTAAAGTCCCTTCCAACTCTGTCATTCTCTTCTCTTCCTGTTCTATTCTGTTGTAGTCTGGTCTGGTCAAGTCTGGTCTTTTCCCACATGCAAAGCGACTCATTGTCTAGGCAACACTGGAGGCTTTTAAGAAGAGACTGGACAGCCATTTGTCCGGAATGGTATGGTGTCCTGCTTGAGTAAAGGGTTGGACTAGAAGACCTCCAAGGTCCCTTCCAATTGGTCATCCCAGTGAAGGTGCCAGGATCCATTCTCCATGCATCCCATGTCATCTCTTAAATAATTCAGATTTAGACCAAGGCCATGTTTCCAAGCCCTCTGATTGCCTATGGAGGATCGCCAGATAAGTAGGGTCGGCTCAGAGATGGGGAGAGGAGATGCCATTCAATCTTGTCCCTCCTGTGCTACAATTTAAAGGGTGGGTGGGAAGAAGGTATGCCAGGATCCCAGCCATGCTGACATGGCAGGATAAGACCCAGGCAGGCAAGCGGAGACCCAGAATGCAGGCGGTTCTAACCCCGTTGTGTACCTGTTGTCCATTTCGAAAGAATTGTTTGCCATACAAATCAGCGAAATATCCCCCTGCGACTTTTTCCGCCTGGCCTTTGCTGGCTACAAAAGTCATCCCGAGGCCCATATATATAGTACACACACACACACATATATATAATAATATATATGTATTGCAGAAATAAATATTGAATGTGCATGGATTCATAAAGTATGAATGTATGGCTTGGCCATTAATACTGCAAATTGCTCACATACAGCCATTAGCATCTTTCATATTCTACACTCAGCTGGGACTGAGGGACCGGTAGCTTTTCGATGAACTTGAAGGCAACTAGGATGTCAGATTTTAGCACTGGAAGGGAGAGGGGAATTCTTAAATCATTTATAGCCAGCAATATCATGGTTTGTGTGTTGGAAAAAAATCAGCATTTTGTACTCTTGAAGGCCCTCCAGAAGCAGAGAGGAGTCCACCCTCAACCACAGAAGCTTCCAAGTTGACTGTGGGCCAATTCTCTCTTTCTCTCATTTTGGCCCACATTATGCAGTTGCTGCAAAGAAAAAATTGTTAGGGAATTGCACAGCAGACGTCCAAATGAAGGGAGAGACGCTGACGCTAACTTGTCATTTTATATAAATAAATATATTTTGTGTCTATATTTGCAGCAGGTAAGATAGTCAAGCATGAGGTAAATCTCAGAGGTGCAGGGCACGTCAGGAACATCATGAGGTAAATCAATGTATAACCTCATGAGGTAAATCAAACAGCATACGGAGCCCACAAAAGAAAAAGGCGGGAAAAAGGAGATATTCCCCCTCCCCAGTCACAGCAACCAATCACAGTGCAGATTGCCTCACGCAAGAGCCAGCCCTCTCCAGTCAATCAACTACCACTGTGTGTTCTGGTCTCACAGCACAACTCCCCTCCCCCCCCCAACTGCTGCTCCAGCTACTAAATTTAAATATCTTAATAAAAATTGAGGCAGGAGAATATATAAATCTATCATGCTGGATGGGGGATTCTGGGAACTGAAATCTACGTCTTCTTAAACCTTCCCCAAGATAATTTTCAGTTCTTTATGTGTCTCTGAGCTTGCATTATTAAAAGTTTATCAAGAATGTAAAAACAAACAAAAAAACAAATAAAGAATAAAAGAAGCAAAGGAAGAAAGAGAAAATAACAAATGGAGTGTTAGAAATATTTACAAAGAATAACTCCCCCCCCCCGCCCCCCAAAAATAGCTTTTGATTTCTTCTACTGTAAAATCATCAAAACCACAAATCATAACTGCATTTTTTCCTTCACAGGCCATTCCTGATAATCTTTATTTCAGTTCCATTAGAATGTAGAAGCGGTTGGTGAAATCTAATTTAGGTGGTGTGTTGAATTTGGTTTTGGGGTTTGTTTTTGTTTTTTTCCCCAAAGAGCTTTAAAATCCTTGCTTTGCACCTGACTCCAGCCATGAATAACTATGATGCGGCAGATATCCTGTAATGCAAGGGTGATTTTCCGTGGTCTGTGATGTTACTGCTCGTATCTGACCTTGACCCTTTCCCGTCCCATTTCTTCCTGATCCTCAGATTAAAGAGAACCTCCATAGGAAATGTTGCATCAGGGCATTTTAAGTGCACATTTCTACACATGCTTTTTTCTCCAGAAGCACATGCTTTGAAAAAGAAATCATGATTTCTTTGGTGAGTCAAGAACTGACTAAGAATATTTTAAAACTATGAAAACAAGTAGGTTATTTAAACTCCAGCGCACACTCAAATTGGTTTCTCTAGAATGAAATTCTTTCTTCCATCAATCTTATAAGGGAACCGAAATTAGGTTGATATCCCCTTGCAGAATATTGATAAGGTTTCAGAGTATAGATGTCATCTTTGCCCATATCAGCATTAAGGCAAGATTTTAGGAATAGGTGGGGAAAGCTTGAAATTAGAACATCAAGATCATCCCTCAACACCATTTTTTGAGCTTGCTCAACTCAAGTCATGCCAAGTAAAATGTGCCAATAAAGGAGAATATTTGTAGCTCAGGGTTTACACGAGGGGTCCTTGGTGCTCTCTGAACTGGGTTGTTTTCTTGCAGATGTTTTGTTACCCTAACTAGGTAACAGTGATAATGTTACCTAGTTAGGGAAAGGAAACATTTGTAAGAAACAAGCAAGCTCGGAGAGCATCAAGGACTCCTCAAGTTAAATGACAATCTTCTGCATTCCAAGATCTCCAAACAACTCCTATTCATAGAAATGATAGTCCCCATCATGAAAGAAACACACAGTATTGAATTGATAGAAGAGACTATTTGTAGCTCAGGGTTGAAATGTGGGATCCTTGGTGCTTTCTGAGCTTGATGGTTTTCTTGCAGACATTTCATGACCCAACTAGGTAACATTATCGGTGCTAGAAGGGGGTGGGCTTCAGAGAGTAAACCCTGTTGCCTTCTAGACTGATGATGTTACCCAGTTGGGTCATGAAACGTCCGCAACAAAACCACCAAGCTTAGAGAGCACCAAGGACCCACAGTGTTACAGATACAGATAATCAGAGTTGGAAGGGACCTTGTAGGTCATCTAGTCCAACCCCCCGCCCAAGCGGGAGACCCTACACCATTTCTGACAAATGGCAGTCCAATCTCTTCTTGAAAGTCTCAAGTGAGGGCGCTCCCACAACTTCCGAGGGCAACTTCTGTTCCATGGGTTGATTGTTCTCACTGTCAGAAAGTTTCTCCTTATTTCCAGATTGAATCTCTCCTTGTTCAGTTTCCATCCATTATTCCTTGTCTGGCCTACAGGAGCTTTAGAAAATAGCTTGACCCCTTCCTCCTCCCTGTGGCAGCCCCTCAAATATTGGAAGACCGCTATCATGTCTCCCCTGGTCCTTCTCTTCACTAGACTAGCCAGGCCCAGTTCCTGTAACCGTTCTTCATGTTTTAGTTTCCAGTCCCCTAATCATCCTGGTTGCTCTTCCCTGTACTTTTTCTAGAGTCTCAACATCTTTTTTATAATGTGGTGACCAAAACTGGATGCAGTACTCTAGGTGTGGTCTTATTAAGGCTTTATAGAGTGGTATTATTACTTCCCTTGATCTTGACTGTATCCCTCTATTAATACAACTTAGGATTGCATTCGCTTTTTTGGCGGCTGCTGCACACTGCTGGCTCCTATTTAACTGGTTGTCCATTAAGACTCCAGGATCCCTTTCACAGTTCCTGCTATTGAGCCCAGTTGCACCCAGTCTATATGTGTCCTTTGGGTTTTTCTTGCCTAAGTGTAGGACTTTACTTTTCTCTATATTGAATTTCATTTTATTAGATATGGCCCAGTGTTCTTGTCTGTTGAGATCCCTCTGGATCTTCAGCCTATCTTCTTGGGTGTTGGCTATTCCTGCCAGCTTAGTATCATCTGCAAATTTGGCAAGTTCTCCTTCTATTCCCTCATCTAAGTCGCTAATGAAGATATTGAAGAGTCCTGGGCCTAAGATGGAACCTTGTGGCACCCCACTGCTGACTTCCCTCCATGTAGACTTAGACCCATTAAGGACTACTCGTTGAGTACGGTTTGCCAGCCGGTTGTGAGTCCATGTTGAGTGGATTGCTCAGGGATTTGCTCCCCTGATGGATTGCTTGAAACCACAGGATCTTGCAAACCTCTCCAGATCTTCCCTGAATGGCCTGCTCTGGAGTAAGGAGAGTTCTCCATGATGGAACAGACCTTTGTAGCTGAAAAACATTCTAAGGGATCCACACGGCTGTTCCTTCAGCCTCATATCTTTACACAATTTGCTGTACTCACCTTATCTGTTACATTCTTTGCCCACCCAATCTTGAGATGCCCACCCAATCTTCTCGTTCACAGGTGCCCATTTCCACATCCTGATGCTGCAGCACCTTCATCTTCCAGACACGGAGAAGCACTAACTTTACTACACAAGGCAATCTCCATTCTCACTGCTTTTCCTTTGGTTTCATTTAGTGATGCCGCGTTTTGCTGAACAAGTGGAAGTCGCCATTGAGGCCCTGAGTGCAAATGTGCCACAACCCTTTGAAGAGAACGAGTTCATTGACGCCTCTCGCTTGGTTTACGACGGTGTCCGGGACATCAGGAAAGCCGTGTTGATGATCAGGGTATGTAAGATCGTTGTTTTTCATATTGTTAGGGTCACCCCAAGGAAATCGGTAGCGGTAGTCCTTGACTTACAACCACAATTTGGCCCAAAACTTCCGTTGTCAAGAGAGAGAGTGAGCTCTGTGATCTTTCTTGCCAAGGCCATTAGGTGAATCGCTGCAGTTCTTCAGTTATTAACGATTATTAAGTGAATCTGATTTCCCCATTGACTTTGCTTGCCAGAAGGTCACAAAAGGGGATCCCTGGGACGCTGTCATTGTCATAAATATGAATCAGTTGCCAAATCCACCTGGATTTTGATCATGTCACGTGGGGATGCTGCAGCAGCCGTAAGTGTGGAAAATGGTCATATATAAGCCCCTTTTTTCAGTGCCGTTGTAGCTTCGAATAGTCAGTAAAGAAATGGTTGAAAGTCAGGGACTTCCTGTATGCCTCATTGGAAAATGAGGGCTTAGACAACCTTGAACTATGCTGGCTAAGATTGGACTTAAGCATAGTACATAAAATCATATGTTACAACGTCTTACCAGTTAATGAATATTTCGGCTTTAACCACAACAACACAAGAGCTTTACTCCTTTACCCTCAAACGAACCTCTATTGACCTCACCCCATTCCTAAGAGGTCTGTAAGGGGCGTGCATAAGTGCACCATCGTGCCTCCCGTCCCTGTCCTATGGTCCCCAATTATTAGTTCCTATTTCTTGTATTTAAACTTATGTTTATCCTTATTTTATATTGTAAGCATTTGACAAAATAAAATAAATAAATAAAATAAAAATAAAATGTGAAATGCCTAAGAGATGAGATCCATCTAAGACAGAAGCATTTCCCAGAATAAACAGACAAGCAAAGTAATGTTTCCAATTTTTTACAAAAAGATTTTATCTCCTCTGCTGTTTCTAAAATGTTGGCACCCTAATAGGTAAACACCTGATGTTGTCTTCTTTTTAAGGAGGAAATAAACATATATATTTTTTTTGCTCAAATACTTTTTAAAAAATTAAGTACTATAACAGAAGTGAGCGTAAATTGGTCTTCCCAGCGTTGCACGCTTAATCACTCTGATTCCTGTGGTTATTTTTGTGAGGAGCGAAAGGCCAGATCCATACATAAAGATCCAGTTAAACTGATTTATTGGTACTTGTGCCTATGCACAGGAATATTCTCAACTAACTGTTTGCACCGGGTCAGGTGGTTGGAGTTAGATTAGAAACAATGGAATTGAAGAGAGGTTGGACTTGGTCCGCTTGTGGTGACGTAGGGATTCTAGGCTGATCCCTCGTTTAATGCCAGTCCCAGGTTCTGCGAAGAAGAGCAGCAATGATTAGGGGACTGGAAGCTAAAACATACACAGAATGGTTACAGGAATTGGATCTTGTTCAATGAAAAGAAGGACTAGGGTGACCCGATAGCATGGTTACTTGCTATCCCAATCTCTAAGGGGCTACCACAAGGAAGGGAGGGGTCAACTGGGTTTCCAAAGCACCAGAAGGCCGGACAAGAAGCAACGGATGGAAAATAATCAAGGAGAGAAGCAACCTAAAAATAAGGAGAAACTTTCTGACAGCGGGGACAATTAATCAATGCAACAACTGATTAACAAAGTCCTTTTCATTAAATTAGACATTCCCAGTTCCTGCAACCGTCCTTCATATGTTTTAGTCTCAAGTCCCCTAATCTTATGAAATACCTGTCAATAATCCTTCCTTCCTCCCCACCCACCCAGGCAAAAAAAAACCCCATCCCTCACACCCACAATTATGCCTTGATTTCCCTCGCTTGGACCGTCCTCAGTGTTAACGATGGAGAATTCTCTTCTGTCCCCTTGTATATATCACAGCAATAGCAAATCAGCTAAGCTAATTGCCAGTTTGTGTACTTGGATATAAGCAGCCCCATTAGCGAAGCCTGGAGATTGTCGATCAGCTGCCCTTTGATAATCAGCAGTTCAGTACAGTTCAGCTTTCAAAAAGTAATCACGCGGCAACCATTTCCTTTTCATCCCGAATACTTTCCTTGAGAAATCAACACGTTTTCCCAGTTGCCTGGGTGTCTAGTTTTCAATTGTGCCGAGCACATTAAAGCCACTTGTATCCCTTCAGTGCTTGTATAGAACTCAGAGAGGAAGAGGGGTGTTTTTAATATCTAAATGAGTAAATAAATTAACTAGCTGCTTCACTGAATCTCCAGAGGGAAAAGCCTTCGGCATTTATTCCGGTAAGGAAGTGTCATTTTAACCCCGAGTAAGCAATTGATTTGATTTTGTCGGGTTTCTTTTACCCCCTTAATAAACTTAATAGGGCAATAACCGAAGGAATCGTTTTGCGAATGGCTTTCCGGACTTTTCCTCATTAGCTTGCCAATCCGCTTCAATTGGTGGGAGTTTTTTAAGGTCAAAATAGAGTTAATCCTTGACTTACAACAGTTCATTTAGTGACCGTTCCGAGTTACAATGGCACTGACAAAAGTGACTTCTGACAATTTTTCACAGTTACGACCGTTGCAGCATCCCCACAGTCACATGAGCAAAATTCAGACGCTTAAAAAGGGACTCATATTTACGACGGTTGCAGCGTCCCCTTGGGGTCATGTGATCCTCACTTAGCAACATAAATGTTGGGCTCAATTGTGGCCGTAAGGCAAGGACTCCCTGTATGTGGGGAGGGAGTAGAAAAGTCCTAAAATATCCTATACAAAGGCAACTGATTTGAGCCAAAAACCCAAATAAAAAATTATAGTCCAAGCTGCATCAATCTTCTGTTGCCTTATCTACCCGTTAGTACATATTGTCACAATAACTGGGATTTATGCTTGGAAGGAAAAAAACCAAGTTGGCCTATCTATCTGCGAAGGCATCACCATGGCTGCTGGTTGCTTTCATCCTTCTCTAAGATCCGATCACAGCCGTTGCTTTGAGCAACAGCCTCCCATCCGATCACGGTGCCATCTACCACTCTGAAAAGGACCGAAAGAGCCTCTTGAAAGAAGGTGAAAGAGGAAAGTGCCAACTCAACATTAAGAAAACTAAGATCACGGAGTCCGGTCCCATCACTTCCCAGCAAATGGAAGAAAGGGGTGGGAGGAGGGGAATGGAAGCAGGGGCAGATTATATTTTGCTGGGCTCCAAGATCACCGCAGACGATGACAGCAGCCGTAAAGTCAAAATTAAATTAATGTGTAAGTCTTGCTCCTCGGGAGGAAAGCTACGGTATTAAAAAGCAGAGACATCCCCTGGCCAACCAAGGTTTGTATAGTCAGACCTATGGTTTTAGCCAGTAGTAATGGACGGCTGTGGGAGTTGGACCAGGAGGAAGGCTGAGCGCCAAAGAACGGATGCTTTCAAATGGTGGTGTTGGAAAAGACTCTTGAGAGGCCCTTGGATTGCAAGGAGATCAAATCCGTCAATCCTAAAAGCACCTTTGGAAGAGCCACGACCTGGGTGATTGAGAACCGCCAGAGACAGTCAGTCCTCAAAGAAGTCAACCCTCCTCCTCCTCTTACTACAACTCATCTTCTTTTAATGACCCCATAATCCCTTGTGGGGTGGAGCCTGGGCAACTGAATGGAACTGAGGGATTACTGGCCGGATGCCCTTCCTGTCACCAATGCAGAGTTATATCCAGCAGATACATTCTCATTGTGCCCAGAGAGAGTAATACCTGCCTCTACCTGGGATTGAACTCACAGCCTCCTGATTGTGAGGTGAGAGCTCCAACTCTAGGCCACCACTGCACCACTTAAAGGAAGTCAACCCTGATTATTTAAATATTTGGCTCAAATATTTTTGCCATCAAATGGGGAGAGCGGACTCCTTGGAAAAGCTGGAAGGCAAAAGGAGAAGGCAGAAGAGGTTGGATGGCGTCGACAAAATGAACAAGGATTTGGCAAACCCTGGGAGACAAGGGAGGACCATGGCCTGGTGTGCTGTGGTCCACTGGTCACGAAGGATCAGACACAACTTAGCAACTGAACGATGACAACAACCCCATCAGAGTTGTGTTGTCCATGTTGTTAGCAAACACTCTTTCTCCCAGATAAACCCTAGACGTATATAGCACATACCACAGCCTTCTCCTGACCTTCTCCACACTGAGTAATCCTGCCGCCTGGGGATTCCAGCAGGGGTAGCTCCACTACATCTGGGGGACATCAGAGTGTTTTGCAGCAAGGGAGACATTTAATGCCAGTTGTCTCCTTCGTACGAAAGTCTCTGTAGCTGATTCGGACGGTTGTTCAGTCGCAGCCAGGGCAGGGCAGGCAGCCCTTGGCTATTCTGCCAGAGACGCTGAAGGTTTCTTCTGCCCGCAGAAGAGGAGGAACAAGTGACCGGAAGATGGGGGTGCACGGCTCAATGGAAGAGATCTGGTCCTTGAGGTCCTTTGGTCTTCAAACGCCACTGCTGAGCCCTCCAACGTATCTAAGTGCCTTTCAGATAAGGAAGAAGCCCTGCCTTCTCCTTGCCAAGGCGGCTAAGGTTATCTCGACTATTTTCTTATTTGTGCAGAGCTCCTGTTGATTTTAAGTGGGAGTTAAGAGGAAAACATGAAGAATAGCAAAGCACAGACTCACAGGAAAGGAAAGAGAGGTTTGACATTCAGAGAACTTTCAAAACACCCAGCAAAATGTCTTGACAATCCACCCACTTTTCCCCCCAGGAAGGGGGATTTCTCAGTTTAATGGTTCTCTTACAATTGATTTTTCATGTATACATTTGTATCTCACCTTGATTATATTTACAAATAACTCAAGGCAGCGAATGAATCCAACACACCTTCCTCCCCCTATTTTCCCCACAACAATATTGGGAGGTGGATTGGGCAGAGAGAGAGTGGTTGACCTGAAGTCACCCAACTGGCTTTCGTGCCTAAGGCAGGACTAGAACTCTCTGTTGGCCCAAAGGCACCCAGCCAGCTTTCATGTCTTAGACGAGACTAGAACTCACAGTCTCCTGGTGATTGGCCCCAAATTATCCTTTCATCACAAAGGTAGGACTATAATTCCCTGCCTCCTGGTGATTGGCCCAAAGTCACCCAGCCGACTTCCATAGGACTAAGGGCAGGGCTAGAACTCACGGCCTCCCAGTTTCTATTTCCAAGTCAATGGCTCCTTCATGCCTTGCCTTTATTTGTAGAGGTCATTGCAATCTGCTATAACCGAGCCATTTTTTAACCATCTCAGCTCTAAAACCCTAAAGAAAGTATTTAAAAATGGAGAAAGGAAAGTGTGAAAAGACCAAAAGAACACAGGGAAGGTTCTCCTTACTCTGGCAAGCATAGATAGGGGGTGTTGCACTCTTCTCCACACTCTCACAATCCAAGGTTTGTTCCGTGGCTGAGGCTTGTGATCAGGCTGCTAACAATTATTCAGATCACACTTCAGACCCTGCCCAATTTAGAGAAAGAGGGGTGGACTGGTCTCCCCCCCGCCAATCTCTGAGCTCAAGGTGCCTTTTTTTGCAGGTATTTCTATAAACTCTTGAAGGATGGTGCAATCTGTTCAGCATCTTGTCTTAGGTCGTCTTCTTCTTCTTTTTTCCCAGAGAAGGCATACAATTATTTTGAAATATCACATTCCAAGTGGGAAATGTGTCTAGGGCTGTTCCTTTTTGCCCAATGTATATTCCCCCTGTTAACAGGCTTAAGAGAAATCACAGCAAGGTGATGATTAATGCCACTGGGGAAAGAGCAGCTTTGGAACAACTTCATTTTTTGTGGACAATTCAATTTGGGGTCCTGCCTGCTTTTGCAGACAAGTTAATTTAAAACGAAGACAAAACAACATTTTCTGGGCAGGTAGTTGATAAAACACAAACATAGCAATCACTGGAGTTCATTTGTATCCTTTGTAAGTTTGCCATGTGTTTTTTCCTTCCTTCCTTCCTTCCTTCCTTCCTTCCTTCCTTCCTTCCTTC